AGAGAGCTGGATTGGAAATGGTGCAGCCAGGACTCAAACCAGTGCCCATATGGGATGCCAGTGCTACAGGCGGTGGCCTTACCCGCAACACCACAGTGCAGGCCACGAAAAGTTATATTTCTACCTCACATTTTATACCAGATGAGTTCCATTTGGATCTAAATGAAATAAATAATTATTTGTGTTGTGAAAGGAAAAAACTCTTAGTCAAATAAAAACAAAGAAGTACCAAAGAAACAGGAAAATATTAATATTGTTTAGGAAATAAGACTTTTTTTAAAGATTTATTTATTTACTTGAAAGAGTTACACAGAGAGAGGAGAGGCAGAGAGAGAGAGAGAGAGAGAGAGAGAGAGAGGAGATTGGTGGATGCCAGATTGCCAGATGTCCCTGGTTCTGAAAAAATGCATTTAGCTGAGCTTTGGAGGTCTTGCTTCCTTTGGGACAGAATGGATTATTCTATGAAAGAATTGTTTTTCTGCTTTCCCAAGTATTTTTTTCTCCATTCTACTAAGATTTCATTTCATTTTCTTAGGATTTGTTTATTTACTTGAAAGGAAGAGTTACAGAGAAAGGGAGAGGAGATGGGGAGAGAGAGAGAGGGAGAGGGAGAGGGAGGGAGAGAGAGAGAGAGACATGTGCTAAAAACATCAATCTCTAATTATTTGTATGAAAGAAATCTCTAATATACTCATGCCCAAATAGAGAAATTCAAAAAATGAAAGAAAACCATGTATGTCTGTACATAGAAAAGCTCTTGAGAAAACATATGAAAATTGTAATGTTAGTTGTTTTGAAATAGATTATGGGTAATATCTTTATAATCATTTCTTTGGCCCAGCGCCGTGGCTCAATAGGCTAATCCTCCGCCTTGTGGTGCCTGCACACCGGGTTCTAGTCCTGGTCGGGGCACCGGATTCTGTCCCGGTTGCCCCTCTTCCAGGCCAGCTCTCTGCTGTGGCCTGGGAGTGCAGTGGAGGATGGCCCAAGTGCTTGGGCCCTGCACCCACATGGGAGACCAGGAAAAGCACCTAGCTCCTGCCTTCGGATTAGCGCAATGCGCCAGCCACAGCGCGCTGGCCGCGGCGGCCACTGGAGGGTGAACCAATGGCAAAAGGAAGACCTTTCTCTCTGTCTCTCTCTCTCTGTAATAATCATTTCTTTGTGTTATTTGAATGTAATGGTCATTATCAACATAAAAATGGAAGAGTTATGAAGAAGGCAAGAGTGAGGAGGATAAGGAATAGCAAAGGGAGGAAGGATAAAGAGGAGGAAGAACAGTTTTCCAAGAGGCTTACTGCGGCCTCAGCTGTTTTTCTCTCTTCTGAGGCTACCTTTAAAAAACTTCCCTCCCTGAAGCTGGGTTGTGGTGTAGCAGGCAAAAGCCACGCCCTGTGACATTGGCATCAATATGCGTGCCAGTTCTGATCCAGCTCCCTGCTAGTGGCCTTGGAAAAGCAATGAATACTGGAGGGTCTTAAGCCATGTGTATCCAAACAAGGGTTTTTTAGTGTAAGAAAAAGTATATTAAATAAATCTATAATATTAAGTTTTGCCTCAGGAGAAAATCAGATGGAATTAACATCCACATAAAAAACTTGTACTCAAAGCAGACCGGAGTGCTTATCATCACGTCTTGTTTGCTGTTCTACTTTAGCAAAGTCTTTCGTGAAGGGAAAGTCAAGAAGGACAAGAAAACCTTCTCTATATTCTTCTAAATATCAGGTCATACTCATTTTTGCCCTTTGCATAATTGCATTAGTTCCCTTGAGCTTTAGTGCTGTTCCTTCAGTCAAAACTGTAGACCTTTATTATTCATTTATTAAACAAATGTTTATTGAAGTCTACATTGTGCCAGACATATCACTGGATATTTGGGGTATATCAGTACCCAGCTTTTCTGGAACCTGTTTTCTGTCTCTCCAAGAAACAGTCCTATTGTTTGGTGCTAAGGGCACCATGAGGTAGGGGGACCGAGGTACTGGGGACGATTGTGGATATCTGACCAAAAATGTTGGGAAGTGTGGGGAGCAACCCGGACTGGACTGAGTTACTGGAATTAAGACTTATTCTATGCATCTGCTCTCCCACAATATGGCGCTGGGAGAGGAGAAAACAGCTTCTACGCAGCTGCCTCTTGCTAACTTGAGTGCTGACCTCCAGGAGCTGATCCTGCTCCTGATTGGAGGAGAGCAGCATACTCGGCGTGTGGGCAGCCGAGTTGGGATTGGCGGAGGAGGACTATAAAGGAGGAGAGAGACGGCATGCACGAGGAACATCTAAGGGGAACATCTATCTGAAGGAACACCTGTGCAGCCCCCGAGAGAGCCGGCCGGCGGTGTGCCGCTCCCCTGCGGAAGTGGGGAAAGTGGCCAGGGGGAACAGCCCTTCCACGGAGGTGGAAGGGACGGCAGCCAACCCGGGAAGAACCAGCAGCAAACCCGGGGAGGGCCGAGCAGACGAAAGAACAACGCAGGGTCCTGTGTCGTTCCTCCATGAAGAGGGGGAGCGACAGGGAAGGGGTGACAGAGGCTATGATTGCGATGGGAGCTTTGGTTCCTGAGGCGGCCTGGGCGGAGGGTTCAGGCCCTTTGTGCCACATACCCCATTTGATTTCTATTTGTGTGAAATGGCTTTCCCTGGAATCAAGGCAGCCCCTGATAAAAATTCCTTCAGTGAAGCTTTGTTGATGAGGAATCAGGACCTTGCTCCCAATTCTGCCCAAACAGGCCTCTATCCTTTCTCTGGTAACGAAAATAAACAATGTGGTTGGCAATTTGATTGTGGCTCCAGGGACATTTGAAGTGCAAATTGAAGAAGTCTGACAGATCTTATAAAAAGGAAACAATGACTACAGGATACAATGTGGTTGACCTGGTGGTGATACTGAAGTTCCTGCTGACATTGGAAGCTGTTGCTGCCCTGGGGAACAAAGTTGTGGAAAGCACAGGATCCTTCAAAAGTTTTGACCATGCTGAGCAATGAAACTGGCTTTGAAATCAGTTTTTCTGATGCTACAGTGAAGATTCTCATTACAACAGTACCTCCCAATCTCCGAAAACTGGACCCAGAACTCCATTTGTATATCAAGATATTGCAGAGTGCCTTAGCATCCAACACGCCCTCTGGTTTGAGGAAAATGCTTCTCCGTCCATTGTTAAAGTTCTCACCAGACTGCTGAAGGACTTGAGGATTCGTTTTCCTGGCTTTGAGCCCCTCACGCCCTGGATCCTTGGTCTACTTGGGCACCATGCTGTGATGAATAACCCTACCAGACAGCCTTTGGCCCTAAATGTAGCCAACAGGCACTGCTTGCAGATTCTGGCTGCAGGACTGTTCCCTCCAGGTTCAGTAGATATCACTGATCACTGTGAGAGTGGCAACTTTAGGGTGCACACATTCGTGAGCCTGGAGCAGCAGGACATGGTGTGCTACACAGCTCGGACTCTGGTCCAAATCCTTTCACATGGGGCCTTTAGGGAGATCCTCAGCCAGGAGGGTGATGCCAGCTGTCTTGCTTCTGAAATATCTATTTGGGATGGAGTGATGTGACTGTTTCAGAAAAGACTTATGAGAAGCCACCAGGGAAGAATGAAGGAGACGAAGAGGAGAACACAGAAGAACCATCTCAGGGAGAGGAAGAGGAAAGCATGGAGACTCAGGAGTGACCTTCCCTTTCCTGCTCAACAGGAAGACTGGAGCCTCGGCTAGTTGCTCCGGCTTTATACAGTGGTGTTTCTGTGGCATAGGGGAGCCAGCAGGAAGGAAAACTAACTCTAGAAGGAAATACCATTCCACTGGGTTTTGGTATTGGCTTAGCCGCCAGAAGTGTCCCATTAATGACCTATGCCACCCATCCGTAATGAAGCAGGATACCAACATTTCTTCCTAGTACTTAGGATCCCCAACTCCTGAAAACCCCTCTGAATTGTTGTGAAGTTTTAGTGTCTCAGAAATTTTTTCTAATAAAAATGATTAAAGTAATTCCTAGTTTAAAAAAAACCAGTCCTATAAAAGCAGCTATTGTTGAGACTGCCACAATATTGACTCCCATAGAGACCTGTAAGAGCTATTAAGTAGATAAGTGATTAAAGAATTCATACACACCTTATTTATGAACAAAGTAAGGAAAGTTTGTTTTCTCTCTTTTTATTTGTACTACCAGGAAGCCTAATCTGTTTTTAGTTCAACTTGGGTAACTATGTAAGATATTGAATCCATACTACTTCAATATTAATCTTTTCCACCGCTGGAATTCTTTACCTGGTTATTTCATCTATGCTTTCATTGGTCTTATTTTTAAAGAAAACTTGAATTGCTTTGTTTCACTGGATTATAGCATAATTAAATACTGTTTCAAATCTCAAATCCCTTGAGGGGCCAGAGGAATAACACATGAAAAGACACATCCAGAATGTTCAAGATAACTGACCTCGTCTCTTCAAAAAGCCAATGTTAAGAAAAAGTAGAGTGTGGAGGGAACAGTTGTAGTTTGAGAAGTGGAAATGGAAAAAATAAATAAAACCCTAAAACAACCAAATGCAATAAGTGACTGCTTGAATCTGAGCTCGGAAGAAAGTATCTGCTAGAAAAGATTATTTTGAAACTGAGGACATCTGAATATGTCCCGAATATTAATAATATTAGTAAATGAATGGCACTCTTCTCAGGAATTGATACCTGCATTATGATTACGAAAGAGAATGTATTTTTAGAGATACGAAACGAATATGCAGGGTGGGGCGTTCTGTCTGCAATTTGGGAATGATTCAGCACCAACATAATTGCTTACGAACAGTTACATATAAGAAGAAAATGTTACTTGTAAAGTGCTGAAGTTTTGAGTCTGGGTATCGGGTAACATTGATTTCGGGGTGAAAATCTGGGTTTTATTTATTTATTTTGCCGCTGTTACTATGACATCACTAAATTACCAGAATTACTGCTACTCCAAAGCACCCTAAACTCTCGCGATATCACTGCTTGGTGGCGCGCGAAAGGCGGTGGGAGGGGCTGTTGGAGGAGGACCGACTTCCGTCCAGGCCGTTGTCTGGGTGGCGCGGCCGAGTCATCGCCGGGCCTCGCCGCTTCCATCTTCCGTTCCTGGCCCCCGCACCGGTGCGGGGGGTCCATCAGCCAAGCCAGGCGGCAGGCGACTGAAATTTACCTTCCATTTCATTTCGCCCGGCGCCCCGGCTGCCCGCGCTGGGGCCTGGGGCCTTTGGGGCCCGCGAGGCCCAGTCTGAGGGGCCGGGGCCTACGCTGGCCCGTCGCTGGGCCCCATGAGGCATAGCCTGACCAAGCTGCTGGCAGCGTCGGGCAGCGACTCCCCCACCCGCAGCGAGAGCCCGGCGCCGGCTGCGACCTGCCCCCACCCGCAGCGAGAGCCCGGCGCCGGCTGCGACCTGCTCGCTGCCCCCGGACGTGACTCGGGCGGCGGTGGCGGCAGCGTCGGCAGCGGCGGAGGAGGAGACGGCGGCGGCCGGATCTCCCGGCCGCCAGCAGCCGCACGGCGACGCTGACGAGCTGGAGGCCGGGCGGGGGAGCCGCGGCGGCCTGGCCGTCCGCGCGCCCTCCCCCGAGGAGATGGAGGAAGAAGCGATTGCCAGCGTCCCCGGGGAAGAGACCGAGGACATGGACTTTCTGTCAGGGCTGGAACTGGCGGATCTCCTGGACCCTCGGCAGCCGGACTGGCACCTGGAGCCCGGGCTCAGCTCGCCTGGGCCTCTCTCCTCGTCCGGCGGAGGCTCGGATAGCGGCGGCCTTTGGAGAGGGGACGACGACGACGAGGCCGCGGCCGCTGAGATGCAGCGCTTCTCCGACCTACTGCAGAGGCTGTTAAACGGTATCGGAGGCTGCAGCAGCAGCAGTGACAGTGGCGGCGGCGAAAAGAGGCGGAGAAAGTCCCCGGGAGGCGGAGGCGGCGGCGGCAGTGGTGGCGGCGGCGGCAACGACAACACCCAGGCGGCGACAAAGAGTCCCCGGAAGGCGGCGGCGGCCGCTGCCCGTCTAAATCGGCTGAAGAAGAAGGAGTACGTGATGGGGCTGGAGAGTCGAGTCCGCGGTCTGGCAGCCGAGAACCAGGAGCTGCGGGCCGAGAATCGGGAGCTGAGCAAACGCGTGCAGGCACTGCAGGAGGAGAGTCGCTACCTACGGGCCGTCTTGGCCAACGAGACTGGACTGGCTCGCTTGCTGAGCCGGCTGAGCGGCGTGGGACTGCGGCTGACCACCTCGCTCTTCAGAGACTCGCCCGCCGGTGACCACGACTACGCGTTGCCCGTGGGAAAGCAGCAGCAGGACGTGCTGGAAGAGGACGACTCAGCGGGAGGAGTGTGTCTTCATGTGGACAAGGATAAGGTGTCGGTGGAGTTCTGCTCGGCGTGCGCTCGGAAGGCGTCGTCGTCTCTTAAAATGTAGGGTCAAGTAATCTGCTCTTTATCCGCGTTTACCCCTTTCAACTCCCTTACTCCATGTAAAACACCTTAGTGGGACATCTTCACTGGACACATTTCAGAGGAGGAAAAAAAGTAATATTGAGTCTTTAAGTGTTTAGCTAAAAGCATGAATGTGACACTGTAACCAACTCCTAATGATAACCTGTGACTATTAAATCTCTCTGACAGTTTCTTTTTTAGGTGATTTCCTTCCTGCCAGGCTCCGTTGTAGGGGTTACAGAACAGTCGTTCCCGCCTCACAACCTGGTAAGGATCCATCTCTTCACGTAACGCTCATGCTCTGCTGCTTAGTCTACTTTAATGGGCAACATCTCAATTTGTGTGTGTGTGATCTTTTTGTTTTTTCTTTTTTGGAAGGTGGGAGGGGAATCTAATTTGGGCCCTGTCCACCCTGGAAACAGACTTGTGCTGGTCAATAATGTATTTAAGATGCTTCTTCTGGTTGAAATAGCTGTTAATGTGTCCCCTTGTTCAGACTTGCGTGTACCTAGCTCTTCTGTCCCCAGTGTGGACATGGCCTTGGATGACATCGGTTCCAACTGTACACTGAAACCTGCTTATAGAGATACAGTTTGGAGACAGTGAAACAGGTGAAGTTGAATGGAAGTTCCGAGTTGTACAAGGTGCAAATTGGAATTCCAATTTTAATGCAACTTTTCAGAGGTTGACAAATAAGTATTTGGGGCATGCACATATGTAATAGTTATTTTGCTGGAGATGACAGAAATCTTTTAAATATTCAAGAATGCCTTTTAGGTTTTCAGTAGAAGATACAGAAATTCAGCCTACTGAAAGTAACATTTTAATATCTCTCCATTAGAGAAGTTGGAAATTAACATGCATATAAGATTCCTTCCTGTGTTTTAGTTAACTGGGGAAAGACTAAGAATGGTTAATGAAATGTTTCCTTGAGGACCAGCACAGTGATTTACCCTATCACTGATCATGAATAAATTGTTGAAAACACTTACTTTATGTTGTATTACAATTTTAGGTTAAATTTATGTATGTATGATTAGATATTGAAGGTTGTGAAATGTGAATGAAAACATGTAAAGTGAGGCTTCACAAAGAATCTTTATATTTCAAGAGTATTTGTCCTATTTAAAAGTAATTTTTGAAACTGAGTGGTTCTGGCCACTTAAATGTCATGGTTGATGCTACTTTTCCAAAGATGGGACGTGTTCTTCCCCTGAAGTACTTCATTATGTATTGTCCAGTTGTATAAATTCAGTTATGGTGTCTTTCGGTGTAAGAAGTATTAAATTCTTTGTGAAACGTCACTGTTTGATAAAGTATATACGTATTTAGCATCCTTGTTTTTCTTTGTGCTAAAGTGGATACAGCTGTTGGGGCAGAAGAGACGGGACCAGCTGCTGGCCACATTTCCTGCTTTATTTTAAAAGGTAGTATAAGAAATGAGGAAAAAGAGGTAATATCAGGGCTTCTGCTGTCTTTTGTTTTTAAAATGTTCATAATTAAAAAGTATTTTCCAGCAGTCCAAAGATGTAAGTTATATTATGAAATGTTTTTATTTTGTTGTTATTTGGTTATGAAAATGGAATCCTTGTTCTTGCACAATGTAAATGATTTGTTGCTAGATTTGAGACCTAAATTGGTCTCTGGTTTCCAGTGCATCACAGCATATTCTGTAAAATCATCTACTGCACTTGAGCATGAATGGGTAGTAGCTAAACTCACAACCTGGAGTGATGAACCTGCTTATACCTAAGGGCAGGAGCAAGCCCCTCACAATGCAGCTGCATGGATTTTTAGTGCCTACTGAATAATATATATACATATATATATAAACCAAAAGTAGTTGGAAAATTATTTGAAATGACTAATTTGTGCTATCTTTATGAAATATGTTAAATGTAGCTTTTTGAAACAGAAGCCTTGAATTGAAATTTAACTAATACTTGAACATTTTGTATATATTTCTTTGTATATAATTTTGTGCAGTACCAACGACAAAAATATGGTGTCATAATAAAACCAGGTTTGTTGATCTTTCAGTTATGGGCTCAAAGAATTTATTCATCTCTAACATGACATTGGAAAATAATGGATGAAAATAGGAAAAATGATTGTTGTTAATGCTGACTGTGGGTCTTAATCAAAAGGTTCTGGAAGCAGTAAGTTCGTTTTTCTAAAAATTATATCATTCCCTTGGAATATTTTCTTCCTAATGTCAGTGCTTTTCCTGCATTATTTGAAGTTTGGGGCTGGGAAGAAACAGTAGTCAAAACTTTCTGAATTGAGATGTTTTGAAATTCTAAGTGTAGATTTTTAGATTGTCATTTTATAAATGGCAGTTTTGGAATTACTTGATTAAGAACTTTTGAAAATGGAAAGATTAGTATGACCTATTTTTAAAGCTGCTTTGTTAGGTTCCTTATGTTTTTTAACTGTCTTTTCTTAGTTTCCATTTCATTATTTTTTTTTCTAGTTTTGGTGACTTAGTGATTTTGTCATTTTTTACATCAACTCATGGTCTTGTTTTTACACGGTAATTGCATGTATTTAGGACCTATTTAACAGGGGCTTTAAATAAATTTATGTGTAAGCACATTTTACTGTAAATGTTTGAGTTTTTGAATTTACAACAGATGTGTTTATTTCAGTATGTAGTAAATAATTAAGTGTCCTATTCACTACTTGTTAATTAAAAGTTATGATTAATATGAAACTGTTGTCTTACTATTTTTAGAAAATTGTGTTTTGAATGATTAATATTTGGATAAAGGAGATTTCTGGAATATAAAGTGGATTGTTTTTGAAATTTTCAGATTTGGCTTTATTTATTGTAATGGTTAAAAACAATTTAGTATTGGGGGACCTTTTTGGTGTTTTTCTTTCCCCTAATTGTGCCTCAATGGTAAAATTATACAGAACTGGACTAAAGAAGTAGCTTTTTAATATTTGTCTTCTGATGGTGGCAGGAATTCATACATTAATTGAACTAACACATATTGACCTACCATTTCTATCATCTTGACTTACTGTTTCTGTACTTCCTTGACTTACCTAAAAAGTCCACATTTGTTAAAAAAAAATGTAGCCACACCTCTGATATAATCCAACAAAAGTGTTCAAAATATTTTAAATATTTGTGCATTTTGTGATCACTAAATTAATCTCTCTCTCTTCTCTTTAAACAGCTTAGCAGTGTCTGCAAAAACGAATCTTTTCCTACAACCTGTTAACTGACTGGACTGATGGTAACAAAGTAATTGTGGGAGCCATGTCGGTCAAAAATTTGGCATCTGCTGAAAAAAAAAAAGAATGCCATTTTCAAGTTCCCAAATTACTTCTATACTGATTTTACTTTCCAGAAATGGAGCTATGAAAAGATTCTCTGGAATTCTTGAAAGACTTAATAGAAATACATGAGACATGAGACTAAGTTAATTTTGGAACAGAATTAGACTTTTTTTTTGTCTTTCATGGGAGTGATACTCACTTCTTTGCATACCTTTAAAAAATTGTAACCATTGGAGAAGAGAATTAGAGTATCTCATCAAGAAATACTAGTTTCTTTACATAATCAAGAGCATATTCTATGTATTACATTTAGTGGACTAGAATTACATAAACAGGCCATCAGTGATCACAGGCATATCATGAGTTTGTATTTCTTTCCTGGAACATGAGAGCTTATTTGGAGTACAGACACCTTGCTGAGTAGAATATAAAGGTTAATGTAAAGTCCTTCATAGTCTTTTAAAATAGATGCATTGAATTGTCTGTAATCTCAAAAAGTTGATGATGATTAAATGTCTGGGTAGTTAATTGAAAATTAGGTAATACCAGGATGTGTGGATTCTGAGATTTTGGCTTCTTGAGCTTTCTTTGAGTACTTGACACTTTTCTTAAAAAAAATATTTTGCGGTTTCTAATGAATGGTATACTAGTTTCTACTGTTTATTAAAATTTATCGAGTTATGTAAGGGCTTTAGTATGCTGGATGATGAGAGTGACTTTTTTCGTGGCATATGGTTGTTTACTTAATTGAAATACTTTTTCCAGTTTATTACAAGTGTAAAAAAACACTCAAAACTCTGGATTGTTTTCTTTCATTTTCATTGGATTGTGTTAACATATTTCACCTGGTCTAGACTGTCATTTTATCTTACTGATTCAGTTGGGAAGAGTGCAGATGATAGACGAGGGAGGGGATAGGAGATAGGCTCTTATTTGTAATGATTGTATAGTTGGTTTTTGTTTGGCATTCAGATCTTTCTAAATCCATTCATGCATTCAGTGCCTGTGAAGCCAGGCAGCAAAGAGCCTTCCTGCTGGCTATTTACATGCTTGTGGTTAATGCTGTTACAGTCTAGCTGGTTGTAATTACACAACCAAGTTTAAACACTAACACTTTGGTGACTATGACTACTATTTTGATTACCAATGTTAATGAGTAATTATCTTTTTAATATGTGATTGCCTAATTCAGGATTTTGAAGGTGTAGTTAAGGGCCACACCAATTTTAGTCAGGTTTTTCAGCTAAATAATCTGATGATTGATGAAAGTTGAATAGTTAGTACAATGTTTTGATATTTTTTTCCCCAGAATATTTTTGCTATTTTTCTCCTTTAATTACCATGTAAGCTAGGAATCAAAGCACTTCCTTTAGAATCATGCAGAGTGCTTTGTTTGACCAGCGAGAGACAGAAGAGCTCCCATCTATCAGCTGGTTTACTCCCTCATATGCCTGCAATGGCCAAGACTGGGCCAGAGGTGAAGCCAGGAGTCAGGAACTCAATCCAGGTCTCCCATGTGAGTGGCAGGGACGCAGGACCCAAATACTTGAGCCATCACTGATACTTTCCAAGGTTTATAATGTCAGGAAATTGAAATCAGGAGCCACAGCCAGGCATCACATAAATCCAGACACTTTGATGGGGCACAGGCATATTAACTGCTAGGCCAAATGTCCCTCTGTTACCCTATACTTTCTGTTGTTGAAAATACTTAGCTTAGTTTTCACAATGAATGAACTTAAAAATCTAGTCAGTAGTTTTGTATATTGTGTAGTTCTGTTTATGTAGTGATATGAATTTTATTGGGAGTCCAGCAACTTTAGAATGTACCTCCAGATTCTGTATCTTCCCTGTGTATCCACTGATGTTAATTGTCCTAGAACCCTCTGGCTCTTTGTGTACTATAATTTGGAGTTTAAAAAGTAGACTGATATCTTAAGTATGAGCCCCCCCCTCCCATTTTTTTTTTTTTAAGTCAGATTAACTACAAAGTGAGTTGTAAGATTTTTAGTAGGTTGTCTACTGTGTTTGGACTGAAATACCAAAAACTTACTTTCCTTACTGATTGAGGTAGTGTTCTTCAGGTCTTATCTCTAAATCATAATGTAGATTGCAGAAAGTTCAAATCATATACCTACCCTCAGACCAAAAACTTTGGTAGAGTTGAAGTAGCAGACTTAGCATAATTTATTGCTTATGTCACCTATTTATGCTAATTGGAAAGATGATTCAAGAGTATGTACAGAGGATAGATGTGACTTTTTGATTACAGAAACTGTTAGAAACTCTTCAGCCCATTTACAGATAGTATTATGTGAAGAAGTAAATATTCTGGGAATATTTAATATATTAGGAAAACATTTTGTACTCAAGTATTAAACAGCAGTATTAGTGGGTTTTGAATTGTTTTGATTGTACTATTTGTATTCTTAAGGAGTCATTTATTAATTTGGATTTGAAATTAGGAATTCATTACTGTTTTCAGTGATAAGGGAAACTGCTTTGAATATGAGTGAGAATGCAGGTAAAATTGGATTGGAGGGCTTGATATTTATGCTTGAAAATAAGGAGGGTTTCCCCTCCACCACATCTTTTAAGTTTTATATATATGAGGAGGCTTCAAAAAAAATTGTGAAAAATGGAATTAAACTGTAGTGCTTAGTTTCCAGGAACTTCTGGAAGCCCCCTCAGATGTTTTCTTCTCTTCCTTTAAGTTGCACAATTTTCAAAAAACTTGGGAAATCTAGGAAAGAATCAAGATTGAAAAAACTCATTTGTAACTCTAGCCCTTGCAATATCCACAGTATACTTTCTTTTAATCTTCTGTGCATATAGATTCTTTTGCCTTAAACTGAAGATCATTTCCTATCTTAGTAGAGAGTACATTTTATAAGGTTGTTGAGAGACCACCTTTGTTTTCTAAAAAATTGAAAATATTTTGTTAATTTCACTAGAATTTTAAATCTTTGGCTACACTGCCTTATTTTCTTTAAGCAGAGGCTGAAAAACCTGTTTGATTCACAAGGTTCCTTTTTTAAATTCACTTTTTTATATATTTTTAGTAGCATGGGATTGTTTCACACAGATAAATCACTATATTTGGAAGGAATAGTTAAGATGCTCATGAGTATATATGATCTATTTGCTTGGTACATTAGTGATTGGTCTCCTTTATATGAAAGTGCTGGTCTAGACCTGTGTTGTCTATTAAGATAGCTGCTAATATACATGTGGCTAAAATTGGACAATGCTGATTCAGATGCTGTCATGAAAAAGAGTTTAAAGAACTAGGATGAGAAGTCTTAGAAGAGTAACACTTCAAAATGTAAGTGATCTCAGGAAATGAATCAGGATATTTCAGGAAGCAAAACCAACAGGATAGGAAAAATGTGGGTTCCACTTTAGTGCCTGATATATCAAGAGGTATGTTAGGCAGTTTATCTGTAATATTTCATGTAGTGTCAGCCCTGAGCAAAATTAATAATGAGTAAATTGAAGACCAGAGAAACTAATTTACTCAGTCCTGTACTTTGAAGAGGTTCCACTTAAAAAAAAATTGTTTGTTTATTTGAAAGGCAGAGAAGGAGAGACGGAGATCTTTTATCCCTTGCTCACTCCCATATGGGTAAAAAAGCTAGGTCGGGGCTGGGCCAAAGTCAACAGCAGGAAGTTCATCTTGATCTCCCACATGAGGGGCAGGGGCCCAAGTACCTGGACCATCTTCCACTGCCTCTTCAGGCATATTGGCAGGGAGCTGGATCAGCAGTAGAGCAGCCTGACGAAGGTTGGCACTTGAATATGGGATTTGGGTGTCACAAGCAGTGGCATAATATGTTGTACCACAGTACTTGCCCCAGAGGCTCATGTTTTAATTCTGAAGCCATCCCACAATACATAGATGCGTGAAATATACACTGCTTAAATTTTCTAGAAATACAACTTTCCAAGAATACAGATTGGGATTGCTCCTTTTTTTAAGATTGCTAAATATGTTCTAAAGATTAATATTACCTATGGGAACACTTTCAGTTGAGAAAATGAAGTATAAGTAACTTTTGCAATGTGTGTATGTGTGTGTGTGTGTGTGCGCATTCCTGTTTGGCTTTATGAGTCTTCAGTGAAATTACCATAAGGTTACTTTTTCAAACTTGGTGTCTAATGTTAAAGAGTGGAGTGAACAATGTGCAAGAGACAAATATGGGCAAACCAGATAAGTTATGCTCTTTAAGTTGATAGCCTTTATTGGAGTTCATTCAGCCTTTTATTGCCTTGTGTAATCTTTCGTTAAGTTCCAAAATTGTACTTCACATGATAAATGACAGTTATATGTATTCATAATCTAGGTACAGGTTATTTTTACCATTTTATTTTTGTACATATATTTGCTTAAAATCAATGAAATTTTAAGCCAGGTTCAGGTAACTGAAGGGCCTTTATAAGTAGTTTATATTGTCTAGACCCAAGGTATGCTGCAAACACAGTCTGGAGCAAAATGGGAAATACCATTTTTCTAAAGACAGGCTTTGAAATTCTAATCCAGTAAGTTAAGATGTTTCCTTTCTCTGGCAGGAGGGCTGATTGATACCTGTGAAAATATTGAGATATTTCACTAGAAAAGATATTGTATTAAGTGGCAAACCTACGTATAACACATTAATACTAAAAGTCTTAAGATAAAACTAGATACAGATTAAGATAAAGCTATTTTCAGGGCCTATTAACCCTAAAAACTCTTTTTTTTAAAACTTTATAAAAATTTTATGAAAAAATTTTTAAAAATTTATTTGAAAGGCAAGAGTCAGAGGTCTGCTGGTTCACTGCCCAAATGCTCATAATAGGCAGGGCTGGACCAGTCCAAAGCTGGGAGCTGGGAACTTAATCCAGGTCTCCCACATGGGTATTAGTGACCCAAATACTTGAGCTATCACTTGCTGCCTCTCAAGGTACACACAAGTTGGAATTAGGAATGGATCTGGAACTCAAACCCAGGCATTCCAATATGGGATGCAGGCATCCCCAGCACTGTCTTAACCACTGCACCAAACGTCCACTCAGTCCTTAGGTATTCTTTTGCTCCTTTGGTTTACCTCCAAGGTATCTCATAAAATAGATTGCTGATACAAGAGTTCAACAGAGAATAACCAGAATTATTTTGGAGTAGTAAACTTACAGCCATTTTTTGACAGTTTTTCAGTTCAAGTACTCAAACTCCTCTAAGAAAATAAGGTAGATAGCTATCTTACTAGGCATAGTGTTTTTGCAATTTTGTAGTGGGCGTTCAACACACAAATTAAGGTTAATAACCTGAGCTATACACCAAAAGGCACCGTGTGATAAAGTTCTAGAACTGTGTTCAAATTTTTGAGAAGTAAAATTTGATTACTTACAAGAACAACATAAGTCTTAGTAACTTCTAATCAAAAAGGATTGTTCTTTTTGATCTAAAGTTTGCTGTTTTTAAGTTGTGAGTTTTTCAATGATTATGAGAAAATGAAGACTCCTACTCACCTGGCTGCTAGGCCACCATTCACAGGTATGGCCAAAAAAACAGGGTACAAACCACCAAAAACAAGACCAACCAGTCCACTCCGTGTTACGGTACAGGTTTCACAATTCAGTTCACCTAGGAGACACATTAATTAGTTCTGGAAGTAAAGGTCATGATAGTCAAGCAAACATGATTTTAAAGAATGAACAGTGTCCCTTAAGTGTATCAAAAATATTTAATTTTCAGACAATAATTCAGTAAGTAGAATTCTGTAAGGCATGTTAAAAGACAGAATTACATGTATGAGTAACCTAAAATCACCAGGAATGACTAATAAAACCATCTCAGGAAAGCACATTCTGTAATTTATTCTGAATTTGCATCTAATCATCTCAAGGTTTGAGCTGTTGGTAACTTTCTGCACTTTCGAATCAACGGACCTGAGCTGATATTTTCACTCAATGTTGCAAGTTCACTGGGCATAAGGTATCCTTGAACCATAAAAATTCTTTTCACATTGGTCATGGGAATTCAAACAAAATGCTCAATTTAAATAAATTTAGAGTAGCACTTAACAGAAAAACTGGACCACCTGCTCTTAAGTCCTCATGGTAATATTTCTATGAAATCATTAATCAAAAGATTTTTCATGATTATACTCTGTATTTAGTATACATGGTAAATTTTCAGAAGGAAATTATATCCCATTTATTTGATAAATACACATACAGGTAGTACTTCAAGAGATTTGTTACATAAGAAAGTATTATATAAGAAAGTATTAAAGTAGCAAATAACATATACCAAGGTAAACTGGTGACAATGAAACCGAATTTACCTGTACTCAAAGGAAAACTCACAAAACCTTTGTAAGATATATGTGCTGTCAAAAATGGGATCACTGCCATTGGTAAGCCAGCAGCTATACGAGCATGTGTCACATTCAAGACGCGCCGAAAAAGACTGTTTGCTATTAGGCCACAGAGAGCAGCGTTAATTCCAACATATGTTGATCCATGTTCAAGTAGATTCCTGAGAAGGTGAGAAGAAAACAGCTTTTTTTTTTTTGGCTCTACTGTATGTATGAACCCTAATTTCTGTCATATGTTACAAAACTTCCCAGGACTTTAGGAATAACTGGATACAACATTTATCAATCATGTTTTACACACAGATTTTTATTCTAAAAGGCTTTTGAGTTAGTCAACACTTTTAGAGTGATAACATTTAGATTTTGTTATTTTGCAAAGGATATTGGTATAGAAATTTCCCTCCAACTGTAGCAAGGAATAGCTTTCAAAGACTGATTTGGATGATTTTTCTGAGTTCCCATAATACCCAATACCTTCCTTTCTAGCACAACACAGTACAAAGTGGTGCTGTCTTAGAATCATTGATTTATAAATTGGGCTTCCCCACTAGATTATAAACTACTTGAAGACAATGGATACAAACATGTATTCATCTTGATTTGTTGATCTTGATTTTAGTACCACCTGACAGAAAGTTTGTTCAATACTGTGGAGGGCATGTGTTTCCCTTCATTACTATCTGAAGCATTTAATCAGGATTGGGAGACTGAGAAGGTACTACTAACATTTAAGTGATACTCTATAGTAAGTACTTTACAACAAACCAAAGTATTCTAAACTTTAAGCCTACCACTTAGCTTTTTATTACCACCTGTATTGTAATCCACAGCACAGATGTCCTCTTAACATTCTCATTGCTCTTCACTAGATAAACTGAACAGAGTGCCCCCTTTAATGTCTACGGGATACACTCATCTTTTTCTAGGAGTCATAATTAAGTTTCCTATTTTGTATAAGGTATTATTTTTTTTACCTGTCGTTTTACTTACTGAGAACTGATTATACACAGCAAATTTGCTGTAAAAGGCACAAGAATTTATCTTTCAGGGTTTTCATAGTTGAATATGATGGCAGAAGAAAGGTAAACTTGATATAAAACAGAAGTCTATAAAAAGGTTAATGGGAACACAACAGCATGCCAGACCAGGAACTTACGATACATAAGTACTATTTGGAGTGATTAGAACATACCAAGCTATCACAGAAAACATGTAAATATGAAAGGCATGTAGGGGTTGAAGCATGAGAAGCTTGAGTACTTCTTCTGAACTATGATATATATGTAAACTAAACAAGTAGTGCAACTGGAGTCTGAGCAGCAAACTTCGCGGTCTCCCAACCATATCTTAATTTCCTATGGGTAAAAAGTTTTTTAGTTAATAATGCAGATAGCACGAAGTTCTTATTATCTAGTAGTCCCTTGCCAATTTTCCAAACAAGAATTTCCCATACACCTAGAAACTCGTGACTTTTTGATAAGACATATATAGGAAGTAACTAGACACATGAAATGTAAGACCAAATATATAATAAATGGCAGTTAAATATACATGAAATTATTCTATAGATCAAAAAAGTTATCAAAAATATTTCATACACTTAGGAAAATTAAAAGTAAAGATATAATGCAAGAAGGGATGAGATTTCAAACAAATGAAATGAAGAGGAAAATTAAGGATAGGACAAAAATAACAAGAGACTGTCACCTTCCTTGTTCAAATGCCAATGTTTAAAAACAATTTATTACCTCTAAATTAAATCTTTGCAGTTGCAGCTTGCTCACCTATGCTTGTCTTTCTAATTTGGTAAAGGTCCTGTGACACAGCTTGCTTTCTTCAGAGCTTCTAATATCTATTCTATTCCTTTTATCAATCTGACTGCCTGCCTTTCCCTATCTTTCTGGTCTAGAAATGTGAACACAGGCCCTTTTTTACTTTAAAAGGTTGTCTATTTTTATCTCAGGAAAACAACTAAAAGGGGAGGAGAGGGCATGGGGACACAGAACTTTTGAAATCGAGTTCTTATTACTGCTGAAGGTTTATAGGTTCTCCTTATTGGAAAAGTAAGTGGTACCAAGACTAAAATTGTGCAGTTTTCATTCCTAAAAATTTTAACTCCAAAATGTATTTTAAATCCATTCTCTTTTCAGTTCAACTTCCTCCATCCTACTGTCTGCACTTACAAGGATCACTATTCCAGCTGGTGTTCCTATTTCCTTTCTGTGCTAGCATATTCATTGTCCAAAAACCAACTGGAATATTGTTGAGAAATGTTAGCTGGATCACATTTTTCTCCTGCTTAAAATTCTTCCTGTTCCTTACACCCTCTTCCCTTTTACTTCAGTAACACTGGTTCTTCAAATATGACAAACTAATTACTGTCCTGTAGCCTAGGCAATGCTATTCTCTCTACCTGATACCATCCCTCTCACTTCTCCAAACTGTCTTCATTTTTTTCCCCCCAAAGATTTATTTATTTATTTGAAAGTGTTACCAGGGGCAAGGGAGGTGGGTAGTGAGCATGCTCTTCTATCTTCTGGTTCAGTCCCCAAGTGGCTGCAATGGCCAGGGCTGAAGCAAACCCAGGAGCTTCATCCCAGTCTCTTGAGTGAGTGACAGGGGCCCAGGCACTTGATCCATGCTCCACTGCTTTTGGTGGGCCATTAGCAGAAAGCTGGATTGGAAGTGGAGCAGCTGGGACACACATCAGTGCCCATATGGGATGGCGGCTCTATCCATTACGTCACAACACGGTTCCCATCTGTTTTTTTTTTTTTTTTTTTTTTTTTTTTTTAAGTCTCAGATTTTCAGTTTAAATGTAACCTAGTCAGACCTGCTTGACAGCCAAAAAGGTCTAAGAATATTTTGGGAAGTGCACTGTAGTTGCCTGTGTTATCTTAAAATATCAGTGTGTTCCCTATATTGTCCTTTTTAAATTTTCCAGTGGTTTATTTGAAAATCAGAGAGAGAGAGAGAGAGAGAGCTTCCACCTGCTGGTTCACTCCCTAAATAGCTTCAATGGCTGGAGCTGGGCCAATTGGAAGCCAGAAGCCAGGAGCAGCTTCTGGGTCTCCCACATGGGTGCATGGGCCCAGGTTCTTGGGTCATCATCTGCTGCGTTCCCAGGCGCATTAGCTGAGAGCTGGATCAGAAGTGGAGCAGCTGGGAATTGAACCAGTACCCATAAAGGGTGCTGGCGCCACAGGCAGTGGCTTTATCTACTGCCACAGCTCTGCCCCCTCCCCCCCATATTGTCCTCAAGGACCTTTAGCCATGATCCCATTTCTCTGACATTCCCTAACTAGTTGTGTATGGGTCATGGTACTATTTTTAGGCTGGTAAGCACACGGACAAATGAATTTAGAGAAATAACAATTAAAAAGCTATTTTATAGTTTTGCTATTTAAATGGATACATAAATGTTTACAATGAAAAACTGAATCATCATACAATTAGATACATCCCCTAATTGTCTCCTCAGATAATGTTTTCTATTTTCAACTGACTCCACAAGTAGCTATGTGATGTTAAACAAAATGGCTAATCTTTCTGGGCCTTGGTCTTCTCATCAAGGCAAGGAAAGGGCTTAGTTTCCTTCTAACATACTATCCTTAAACCAGATAAAATTGAAATAATTATTTAGTGATGAAAATCCATCCAATAAAATATATTTTTAGATTAAAAAGTGATGCTACCTTTCTGGTTCTGGAAGTTGGTTAATTTTTCTGGTTATGATCTCCAAAATTGTTACATTTTCCTTGACAGTATCTGGTTCATGACTTCCCATCTTGAGCCCTAAAAAACCATGAAAATATTATGGTTTGCAATAATGTTTATAGAAAAACAAGGAAACAATTCAGAAAGTCTTCTACTTGACCATATTTAATTTGAAAATAACTGTACATTGAGTGTTTAACTGTAAAGCCAATGCATATATATCATAAAGCAAAACAAAATTCAGTCCCCCCCTCCCCGCAAAACCAAAAACGTGAAACAGAAGCCAGAACATGAGAAACAACATATTAAGCTTATAGGAAATATACCAGCCATTTAGTCTATCCCTGAAAACTGATGGTCCTGGGAACTTAACAGTGTCAATTCATTGTTTTTCATATTAACTGAAGAAACATAAAAAATCCTTTGGAGATTTTTTTTTTTAGATTAAAAAATAAATAGAAGGAGACAAATTAGCATTGTAAAGTAAATGCCTAATGATTTCCTATTGAAACGCTTGTGAAATTGCCCCTGTGTTTGATGAGAGGAATGAGTAGGAGCATTGTTGTGTGAGAGTCTCTGGTGAGGCTCTCCCAGGTGTTTTTTTACTAAAGCTTTGGATTCCTTTCTCAACAAAAACCAAAAAAACCCACTCATAATAAGAAAATATTATTCATTGACCTTCCAGAAAAATCAACAATCTAAATGCTTTGAGCATTTACAAAAGCTGTTGCCAAATGCTTTGCTCTTCAGCAGTACACTTCTGCTTTGACTGGACTACTTCTACCTCTAGGTTATCATTCTATGATTGTGCTTCGTCTTCAGGGTCAAATTGATAAAGCCATATTTAACCTCCAGTTACAATTCTTCAGAATTAAAAAGATGATTCAGGATCTTGATCTCCCTTGTTAAAATTTCCATTGAGGGGTCAGTATTGTTGTGTAGCAGGTTAAGACACCACCTGAGACACCAGCATCCCACATGGGCACCAGGTCAAGTCCTGGCTACTCTGCTTCCGATCCAGTGCTCTGCTAATGCTCCTGGGAGAGAAACGGAGGATGGTCCAAATGCCTGGGCCCCTACCACCCACATGGAAGACTCAGGTGAAGCTCCTGGCTTCTGCCTGGTCCAGCCCTGGCCATTCCAGTCATTTAGGGATTGAACCAATGGATGAAAGATCTCTTTCTCTGCAATCTGACTTTCAAATAAATATTAAAATTTCTATTGAAACTACTCTTATCTGCAGCTGATCTGGACACAACTGTTTTGGCATTTGTGAAGCAGAAAAGTTTGCTCAATTTTAAGTTTTCAGTAAGAAATGTGTAAGCCAAACCAGTTGAGCTGTGTATGGTATTGTCATTTCTACTGTTAATTATTAGAGCCATGAACACAACTTTTTCCCTGCAAATTGGTGTGGATGGTCTGCTATGGCAGGCTTCATTTCCAACATCAACTTCTTAAAATGCATTCTGTCCATCTGCAAACTGCTGATTTCTTTATTTTTCTCTTTTTCTCACAAACTTTTCATAAAGCACCAATGATCTCATCATAATTTGATCTTTGTTTTTACTTCAATTTTAGCAGAATTCATTTTGCTGTGACAGGGTCTATTTTCAAACTAATGTTTACTCTTCTTGGTGCCTCAAACTAGATCCTATTCAGATATGTTGTAATAAGTGAGTACAAGTTTATTTTGGTGCAAAAAAAAATTTCAAATCCATACTTAGTTTTTTCATAATATGTATATTCCATGAACTTAAAGTTTTTTTTAGAAATTTGAAAGGTAGAGAGAGAGAGATCTCCCATTTGCTGGTTCACTCCCCAGATGCCTAAAACAACCAGGACTGGCCAGGCAGAAGTAAGAAGCTGGGAACTCAACCCAGGGCTCCCCTGTATGTAGCAGGGACCCAAGTCCTTGAACCATCATTTCTGCCTCCCTAAGTGCAACTCAGCAGTAGGTTAATAGGAGTGGATCCAGGACTCAAACACAGGCACTCTGATATGGGATGTGGGCATCATGTGTAATCTTAACCGCTACACCAAACACCTGCCCCTCCATGAACTTTTTAAAGGCTCCTAACATATCTGTACACACCTAAATAAAAAAGTGGAAACTCAAACAGGCATTAAACCTAAAGATGGGTTCACTTTCATTATAATCAGAGAATGTGATACCAATAGGTATCCATAAGTTAGCAAAACCTACAATCTGACCATTTCAATCACTGGAGGAAATGTATGGTAGCTGCAACTCTAGTGTGTGCTGCTGGTATAAGTGTAAATTGTATCTGAGTGGGAACAACCATTTTGAAAAAGAATTTGTTATTTAGGAGGAAGACGACACACATTGGCAATTTTTACTTAAAGGCATACCCTACAGCAGTCAGCAAACTTTTTTTTGAAAGGGTCAAATACCAAGTATTTTAGAGCTCGTGGGTAATGTATAGTCTTTGTTGAATGTTTCATTTTTAAAACAATTCTTAAGGGGCCAGCAGTGTGGCGCACTAGGTTAATCCTCTGCCTGTGGTGCCAGCATTCCATATGGGTGCCGGTTCTAGTCCGGGTTGCTCCTCTTCCAATCCAGCTTTCTGCTGTGGCCTGGGATAGCAGTAGAAGATGGCCCAAGTGCTTGGGTCCCTGCACCCACATGGGAGACCAGGAAGAAGCACCTGGCTCCTGGCTTCATATCGGTGCAGCGCTGGCCGTTGTGGCCATTTGGAAAGTGAACCAACGGAAGGAAGACCTTTCTCTCTGTCTGTCTCTCTCTGTAACTCTACCTGTCAAATAAGTAAATAAAATCTTAAAAAAAAAACCACAATTCTTCAGAAATATAAAAACCATTCTCGGCTGGCTGACTGTACAGAAATAAGCAATAGGGTGTACCTGGCCTACTTGCCAGTGGTTCATATCACTAGTTACGGTGAATGGCAGAGCAAGTGAATGGTGAACAATGAATTTTAGCCTGGAGATTTAGCTCATTAAACAACAGAGTTCAGGAAACAAAAGCAAAAGTTCAGGCACACCACAAAGGACAACACTGGTAAGTCAGAGTTTCTTGGTTCACTATCAGTGTTCATTGCTATAGGATCACTTGATGGCACTCACAAATAGAGTACCTGTTAGAATCGTTCACTTAAAAATATTAAATGCAGTGAAATTCCATATCTGTGGTCTTAGCCTAATAATTACAATGCAGGCTTAGAAATGTAGTAAGTGGTTTCCAGAACTCAAATTTCTGAGGACCTTGACTAGAAAAACGTGACAGACACAATCCCTGCCATGCTGGAGGGTCTGAATGATTTTGTGCAGGGGTGTGTTTATCAAATTCAGTATGTACAAAGTGTATGATATTTATGTGCAAAATAACTTTAGAATGTCCAGCCCAATGCTCTGCACACTGGTGTGGTTCCGAGTTATGTGTGTTCTGTGAACACACTGGTGTGTGTTCCAAGTTCGGACAACGCCTATGGGCTTTATATAGCCGTTATTAATAATAAATGCCTATCAAAGGACCATGCCACTTTTAAATACTACAAACACTTCAAAAAGGTTTTTGCATTGACTATCACTTGCAGGAGAGCGCGGAAAGATAGGCAATGTGTAAAGTGAAAATGAAATTTGGCCAAGGTCACCGTGCAACTTGGCAGTAAACCTGAGATTAAATCTAACCACAAGCGTTGTTTCCCTTTCTGTTGACCTGGCTCAACTATAAGGTCTTTCTAGGCCAGAAGCACTGTGGGGCCAGCCGCCCCTCCTCCCAGGTTCCATTCGCGCGCTGCCAGTGACAAGCGTGCCACCGCACCGCGCTTCTGACCCCGGGACATTTCCTTCGCTCATTTCCCCGGATTGCCAGTACCTTGTGCTCGCTCTCCGCAGCCGGTGCCGCCCCTGGTCTTCCTCAGCCACGGCCGAGGCTCGCACTGTAGCTTTTTCTCAACTCTCCAACGCAGCCATCTTTAGCCAACACGTGACTCCCGCCGCGCGGAGTGACGGCCGCTGATTGGGCTCCGGGAGCGAGGCTGCGGCCAGGAACGACTTCTAGCTCTGGGGAGGTGCCTGGCGGCGGAGCGCTGAGGTTTGGCTGGCAGTGCAGGTACTCGTTTCGCCCACACCCTCCTTAACAGTACAGAGCCTTTAGAAAATGTGAAATTTTGGATATAAACGTTGGGTGACCCTAAATACGACTTTCTTTTTTTTCTGAAAACCAACCTTCGGCACGAAACAACTTCCGGGTCCGTAGAATCTACCTCATGATGACTTGGGCTATGTGAAAACTGCACTGTTCTTAGCATAGGATGTGTTTTTAGGTTTTAAAAGTTCAAACAAACAAACAAAAAACCTGTGATTTCTTTGCTACACATATTCTCTTTTTATTTGAAAGGCAAAGTTACAGAGAGGCAGAGTCAGAAGTGTCTTCCATCCACTGGTTCACTCACCAAATAGCCGCAAGGTGGGGGTCGGGAGAAAGCTGGGCAGATCCGAAGGCTGGAGTCCGGAGCTTCCTCGATGTCTCCCACAAGGGTGCTGGGGCCCAAGTGCTTGGGCTTTCTTCTACTGCTTTTCCAGGCCATAGCAGAGAGCTGGATCAGAAGTAGAGTAGCCAGGACTAGAACCACTGCCCATATGGGATAGGGGCGCCAGAAGTGGAGGATTAACCAGCTTTGTCACAGTGCTGGCCCAGCACATTTTTTTTTTTTATAAGATTTTATTTATTTGAGAGGTAGAGTTACAGACAGGGAGAGGAAGAGACAGAGAGAAAAGTCTTCCATTGGTTCAGTCCCCTAATGGCCACAACAGCCAGAGCTGTGATGATCTGAAGCCAGGAGCCAGATGCATGCGGGTGCAGGGGCCCAAGCACTTGGGCCATCTTCTACTGCTATCCCAGGCTACAGCAGAGAGCTGGACTGGAAGAGGAGCAGCCGAGACTAGAACTGGCACCCATATGGGATGCTGGCGCTTCAGGCCAGCCCAGGGTGCCTTTTATTTTTTAAAAAGATTTGTTTATTTATTTTTATGAAAGAGAGAGAGAGAGAGAGAGAGAGAGAGAGAGAGAGAGAGAGAAATGTCCATTCACTGGTTCACTCCCCAAATGCCTGAACTTTTATAACAGCCAAATATTGGCACATGAAATAACTAATCTAAATCAAAGAAAGTGGAATCTGATCACTTGTTACAACCTTCATTACTGTTATTGTAGTCTTATTATGTCATCTGGGTTATATGAGGGTATTTCTGGAAACTGTGCATTATCTTTTAATTCTACTTTTTCCATGAACTATCTAAAATACTCTCAAATGCAGCATCCTATGGTGCATCCCAAAGAAAATTTATGGAATGTGTCTCTTTCTTCATGATACATTGAATCTCCTGAAAGTAATTCATCTAGGAATGTTTGAGAGTTTTCAAAGCTGGTCATCAAAAAAGCAATAGAGGGAATTCCAGCTTCTGGAAATAATAGAGTAAGTTATATTTGATAGAACTTGTTGCTGGTAACAATAATAAACTCTGGACAATAAAGAGATATTTTGTGAAGACACTGGAAAGTAACCAAAAAGTATGTGAACATGGAAAGTGATACATTTCTTGAAAGAAGGGAAAAATACTGGGTGCAAGATTGTAAGATTGCCATTTACTAGGTGTTTTTTTTTTTTTTTTTTAATGAGAGCATTTCTCAGTCTGAAATACATGGGGAAATGAGTGCCAATATAAAACAGCTCTCCAGTTTGAAAATTCAAAAGTTAAAGTTTGGAAGTGTCAGAACAACTGGAAATTGAGGGGAGGGTTCTTACAAAGAGAGCCACAGGGAGAGGAAAGGGGATTCCAAAATCTGTCTAGAAAAATCTCAACTTTTTGGATGACATTTTAACTGCCCATGTATGGGATGATATCACCAGGAAAACTGGTGGACACCAATAGCTGGAAGACTGGAAAAGCAGAAGTAATATTTCAGCAGCTGATTGAAGTTGGGGAGACAGCATTTTATATAGTCCAAATTACAGAAACAGAGTGAAAACTTTAGACATTTTATAAGTAAAGACAATGAGGCCAGCGCCGCGGCTCACTTGGCTAATCCTCCGCCTGCGGCGCTGGCACCCGGGGTTCTAGTCCCAGTTGGGGTGCCGGATTCTGTCCCAGTTGCTCCTCTTCCAGTCCAGCTCTCTGCTGTGGCCCGGGAGGAGAGTGGAGGATGGCCCAAGTGCTTGGGCCCTGCACCCGTATGGGACACCAGGAGGAAGCACCTGGCTCCCGGCTTCGGATCGGCACAGCGTGGCCATAGCGGCCATTTGGGGGGTGAACCAACGGAAGGAAGACCTTTCTCTCTCTCTCTCTCTCTCTCTCTCTCTCTCTCTCACTCTTTCTCTCACTGTCTAACTGTCTCACTGTCTAACTCTGCCTGTGTAGATCCTGCTGTTGAAAATGAAGAAGCATGCATGAGCAGAGTGGAAGTTAACGATTCCTGAAGAGCTGAAACTATGGCTTATTGATGATTGAGACTTAATTATCAGACAAAAACAGCTCTTTTTTCTGCCAAGAATGTGGATTCCATGCTGGAGGATTATGCAAATTATAAGAAATCTCATGGAAACACAGATAATAAGGAGGATGCTGTTAATGAAGCTGTGACTAAAAGAATGCTTGCATGTAATACTGGGTACTCAGCTGCTCTACAAATCTGAGACCACGGGATGCTGAAATCCTCACAGATCTCCCAGACACACCTATGTCCCCAGGTGTCTGGAGTGCCACATCTTCTGAGATTATTTGTGTGAATTGGAGCAATGTTGGCCTATTCACCTGTGGATGAGAAGAGCCTTGTTTTAGTACTGAATTATCGTCACAACTTCCTAAAGTACCTGGCAAAGAATTCTGTGACTTTGTTTAGTGCTCGTGATTATGAAGTGGCTTTTCCTTAGCCCCACCAGAAAGCTGTGTGAGACGAGCACTCACTCACTCACAAATGTTTGCATCTCTTTAAACACATTTTTGTTCTTAGTCCTTCTCTTGTCCAAATGAAGTACTTTAAAGATGTTCATGTGGAGCAAAATGGATGTTTGTTTTGTTTGGTTTTAAACAGAAAATAAAAGGGATTGCAGCTCCCTTTTTTCTTTTCCTTTTTCAAAGTTGCTACCAGTGCATTCAATGATGGACAACAGTGGGACATGTTCTATTGCCTAGTTGAAAAGCTGTTTTTGAATGCTGGTGGTTCTATTCCTTTGACACTGCATACTTTTGGAATACATGCTAATGCTATATGATAAGATGCTCTGATTCCTAATGCCAAAGGTTCAATTCAGTGTATATAACTGAACACACTCGTGTGTTTGTGTATGTGTGTGTGTGTGTGTGTGTTTAATGGTGCTTCAAGTAAAGAACCCATCCTTGGTAAGTCATCCATTTTGTTCCTTGGGCATTTTATCTTTGCTCAAATTGTTGAAGAATAAAATAATTACTTATTTCATGGTTTTTGTATTTGTTTCTAATGCACGTTTTAACACAATAGATGCAATGTGCTGTGTAGCTACAGTTTTCTGGAAAAGTTGACCTTTTAGGAATTGTTTTTTAGACCTCCAACAAATTTTTTCTTTAAATTTCAAAAAAAATTGATAAACTCTAGTAAGAGTAATTAAAAGAAAGGGAGAGAAAATAACTTCATCTTTTTGGACTGAAAAGTCCATTAATACAGATTTGATACATATAGTGACAAGATAGGAGACAATAATAGAAACAACTTTAACCAAATGCGTTCAACAAGTTAGAGAAAATGGATAGATTGTCTGGTTTGATTGTAATTGCTTGTATAGAGAATAACTTTTTCTTTTGTATCTTGTAAAATAAAGTCTTGCTAAATTAAATAGTATTTTTTAAAACAAAGGCTATTTTATTTCTTCTTTTCTAATCTGGATAACTTTAAATCCCTTGCCACCAGCCTCATATTGCACCAGCTAGATTCCCATACATTGTTGAATAGAAGCAATGTGGTCTCTCTGTGTAACTCTTTCAAATAAATAAATAAATAAATCTTTTTTTTTTTAAAAGAAGTATTATGGGTAGACACTCTTGCCTTGTTCCTGATCTTAGGGACAATAATCAAATTTTCACCATTAAGCATGTTTGTTATAGGTTTTCTATAGGTACTCTTTTTTTTTTCTTACATAAATTTTTTTTTCTTATTTATTTATTTGAAAGGCAGAGTGAGAGAGAAAGAGAGAAAGATTTTTCATCTGCTGGTTCGCTCCCCAGATGCCTGCAACAGCCATTGGTGGGCCAGACAGAAGCCAGGAGTCACAGACTTCACCTGAATCTTCCATTAGGGTGGCAGAAACTCAAGTATTTGAGACATGATTTGGTGCTTCTGAGACTCATTAGCAGAAATGCTGGATCAGAAGTAGGGTAGTAAGGACTCAAACCAGGCACTGTTTAATGGGATGCAGGTGTCCCAGCAATGGCTTGAGTTACTGTTAAGGATACTCTACTGCTGTAGATACTCTTAGGGAAGTTCACTTTTATTTCTAATGTGCTGGCAGTTTTTTTGTTTGTTTTACCATGAATGGATGTGGGGTTTTGTCAAGTGCTTTTTCTGTATTTTTTTTCTGTCCTAGTTTAGTCTGTTGTTATAGTGAATTACACTGAATGATGTTTTAGGTTAAATCAATATTTTTAAAAGGATTTTATTTATTTGGAAGGCAGAGTGACAGAGAGGGAGGGACAGAGGAAGAGAGAGAGAGATCTTCCATCTGCTGGTTCCCTCCCCAAATGGCCATCGGGCCAGGTTGAAGCCAGAAGTCCGGAACTCCCTCCAGGTTTCCAACGTGGGTTCAAGTTCCTAATTACTTGGACCACCTTCCTCTGTTTCTCAGGCACATTAGCAAGGAGCTGGATAGGAGATAAAGCAGCCAGG